GAGGGAAGAAAGGAAGGGGAAAAAGAAGGAAAGAGAAGGGTGATAGAAGAAAGGAAGGAGAGAAGGGAGGAGGGTGATTGACGGAGGGAAGAAAGGAAGGGGAGAAGAAAGAAGGAGACAGGGAAGGGTGATGAAAGGAAGAAAGGAAGAAATAGTCCGGCTGGGGACGATGGAATTCCTTTCAGCAGAAAGCGGGGTAAGGGCAGGTGGGCAGAATTAACCAACCAGAGATGAGGGAGGGGAGGGGAAGATGCCCACACAGGTGAGCAGGAAGAATTAAAAGACAAAGCCATTGTCTTAAGGGAGGACGGAGGGACAGAAGGGGCTAAGAAACCCCCACTCAGTTAAGGAGGCAAAGGAAGGGGTGACCCCTACCAGCCCTGACCCGCCCTGCTACAGCTACCCAACCATTCCAGCTGGGGAGGATGGGGACTGGAGTAGGAAGGAGGCAGGGAACTCTCTGCAACTGGAATCCACCCCACCTACCCCCTCTCCTCTGGATTAGCCAGGGGGTGATGGGAGCAGGGGTCCCTTGGCTGGAGGAGCGCGCTGGGGATGATAGGGAGCCTTCCCACGCAGGATAACAGGGATAATAGGTGTTGGAGTTCCACCCTATTTCCACCCCACCCCCCCCCAAAAAAAGACTAAAGGATGTTGGCTAGAAGGTAGAGTTGCGTTAGGTGGGGACAATGGGCAGTATAGTCTGAAGCTTGAGTTGAAGCGCACAGAGAGAAATGGGAAGGCAGAGGATAATAGGCACTGGAGTTCCAAACCCTCTGCCGCAGCCACAGAGGATAGTGGGGTTGGGTTAGTGGGGGACAATAGGAAGTGGAGTCCAGGACTTGAGCTCGGCAAGGAGAGGAGATGGGAAGGGGGAGGATAATAGGCACTGGAGTCCCATCCCCACCCACCCACCCATCCAAAGAGGATGCCGGCTAGAAGGTGGGACTATGTGTCGGTTGGGGATAATGGAGAGTGTAGTCCAGGGCTTGAACTCAGCAAGGACAGGAGATGGGAAAGGGGGAGGATAATAGGCACTGGAGTCCCTCCACCCAAAAAATCAACATTGGCTAGAAGGTGGGGTTGGGAATAATAGGGAGTGTAGTCCAGGGCTCAGCAAGAAGAGGAGATGGAAAAGGATGTTGGCTAGAAGCTGCGTCGGTTGGGGTTAAGGGGGAGTGTAGTCCAGGGCTTGAACTCAGCGAGGACAGGAGATGGGAAGGGGGGAGGATAATAGGTGTTGGGGACCCCCCCCCACCCAAGAGAACATTGGCTAGATTAGAAGGTGAGGTTGGGGATCATGGGGAATGTAGTCCGGGGCTTGAGCTCAGCAAGGAGAGGAGAGGCGGGAGGATAATAATAAGCTCCGGAGTTCCAACTCCCAAAGAAATGGGGCTGCGGCGGCTGGGGATAATGGGGCAGGTAGTCCAAGGGAGAAGCAGCAGTCCCGCCGCCCGCCCGCCCGCTCACCTTGCTGCAGGTCCTGCTGGTCGTACCACGGCTCATCCTCGCGGATCTCGAACTCCTCTACCAAACTGTCGGTGAGCATCGCGCCGCCGCCGTTTACCGTCCCTGCGGGCGCCTGGCTGCGCGCCGCCTTTAAAGCCGCCCCCGAGCGCCTCCGAGCGCCTCCGGATTTTCCCGAACGCCCCGCCTCGCCCCTCCCGCGGGGCTCAGGGGGCGTATCCATGAGGACCGAGCGAAGGCAACGTGGCAAGGACGCCGGGCGCGATTCAAAACCAGGAACCCACGCCGGCGGCAGCCAATTAGCGCGCTTCCTCCGCCGGGCCTCTCGTGGCCGCTCCGGCCAATGGCGATCCGACGGCTCCCGACGGCGGCCAATGGCAAGCGATTGGAGAGGAGAGTTGGGGGGGAAACAAGACCCGCCCTCCGAGCTTTTCTGCGCTGCCCGAGGCTGGAGTGTGCGGGTCAGTGCGGCGTTGCCCGGAGGCAGGGAGGGGTGGGTTCGGTTGCTAGGCGTCGCGAGGGGTCGGTTGCTAAGGGGAACGAATGGCGGGTCCCGTCGCCTTGAAAGAAATTGCGGAGTGGACACCGGCAGGGTGGCCGTGGGAAGGGTGACAGGAGAGGGGGGAAGAAGTAGGTGGGCTGGTTGGAGGGTTTTCCCCCCCAAGAATCTCTCTCTCACACACACACACACCCCACTTACAAAGTAGGCGGACGGGGGAATGGAGCTCCTGGCTGGCAGCAAACGGGGCTACAAAAGGAAAAGGTCCTACTGCTTATAATTACTATATTTACTATTAATTACAGTAGAATAACCATTCGTTTGAAATGGTGTAGGGTCTCCTGCTTGAGCAGCGGGGGTTGGACTAGAGGACCTCCAGGGCCCCTTCCAACTCTGTTCTTCTATTCTAAACTGCAACACCAAACTTTTTTTGTGTTCCATTTATACAGGTCCAAAATATTAGACGTGTCTATGCTCAGCCTGGAAGCTTTCTACAGTAATGCATAGAATTCTGGTACTATCAGTCAGCTCCACATAAGTGTCCTGCAAAAAAAAAAAAAAAAAAGCCAAAATGCTGAGAAACAAATAAGTTTTTATTTTTGTTTTGCCCTGTGCTCTACTCTCATTTCCATCAGTGTTTCTCATCAGTACCCTCTCTTGGCTTTGTGAAATCATAGACCATTTGCCAGCCTAAGTTGAAAAGTAATACGATATTATGATTCTCCTAACAACCCTCAGAAACTGTAGGAGCAGCAACTGCCTCAATTTTAATTTTTGATATAATAAATATTGATATAAACCATACCAACCAACGCTTTCATGGGGTCGTTCACAATTTTCAAAAATGGGCGGAAGTCCTGAGAGAGAGAAAAAATTTAACAGGGTGATACAATATCTTTTGAAAAGGGCTTTAGTACACCAAAGTTTTCCAAGTCAAAAATATTTAAGGCTTTTAAAAGTTGTGTGTATGGGCAATAACAAACATCTCCAGATGGAGTCTAATCAATATATATATATATATTTTAAAAAGCAGTTATCCCTGTTCGCTGGTTACAGCAAGAATCCACAATCATTCTGTGTAGCATTTTGGAGACAGAAACATTATTTATTTTACAGTACAAATGCCCAAATTTGCTTTCTTATCCAGTCTTCAAATAAGGGGCTGTTTGGTGCCCATCAAAGGGGCATTTGTTTTTGAAAACGCGAAGCAAACCTTTGGTCCTGTAGAAATCTTACATTGATTGGACGAGGCACTATGAATATATCCATGAAAATATATGAGAAAGAAAACGTGCCGTACAATAGATGTTATTGTACTAGGAGCCAAGATGTGGGATTGGACCAGGGATGGGAGGTGGACCTCACACACAGACAACAACCCCTGATTCCTGCTAAATATTCTGTGTGTTGCATGCCATTCATTCTTAATCTTACCCCAGGCATTAATTGCATCAATCTTGGGATTCCTTTGAAGTAAATATTATTAAAGGGCATCGCTGCTCTCTCTGGTTAACCGATTTTAAGCTTGGTTTTGTAACATATTGTACAAATAGGTGGGTTAACTATCTCCTTTTACAGGGGTTTTGTAGTTCTGTTGAATTGTAGTTTTTTATTTGGTATTGACAGTGGATTGTAATCCATATCTTGGTTTATTAAAATGTAAATTTTAAAAAACTGTAGGTGAAAAGGGAGGGGCAGACTCTTTTGTGCTCCTTCTGTATTATCTCGGCTGGAAAGCAAGAAATGTCCTTTTCCCCTCAGGATCCATGAAGGTCGATGATGCTCTTATTTTCTGTTGTTAAATCTTGTCCAATTGCTAAGCTCTCTTGCTAGGTGTGGATCAATGTAGGTGAGAAAATGTTGCCCTCTGGTGGTTCATCTGAATTATATTCTAATTAAAAGATGATTTATATTATCTGTCAGCATTTAGCTTTGTTCAGGCAGGCACACTGTTGTCCTTTTAACTAATTTAATCAATGGTTTTATGCACTAGCTGAGGATGAAACCTTCTGATTTGTAACAGACTCCGTTTCTGCCCTGTATAAAAATCTAGCTTAACACCCCCATCTTATTTTAGCTTTCATTTATATATTATTTATTATTTCAAATGTATATAAGTCACCCATCTTTTATTCTTTTCATTGGCTGTGTTTACATATTTTGGCCTAAATCCAACATACTCTTGCTTGTCCTTTTTCATTATTATACATTTAAATAATAAATAAACCCTTTCTGAACTTATTCATTACCAAATTATAGTTTGGTAGCACAACCCTTGTTAAAAATATTAATTCCTTTCCCACAGAGAAAGGACTACACACCCTCTGCAGTTGATAGTCACAAATTTCTTTTAAAAATTCAGCATGGTGATTAGATAATGCAGAACTTCTTTTCCATACTAAACTCATCAGATTAACCTGATCAGGTCATTCATCTATAACATACCACTTTATGAAAACAGTGAAAGAGTTGTATCAAAGCTTACTAGTGGTTACAAATCAAAAAGCATAAAACTGCTCCTTTAAATGTTTGGTATTAATTAACCTTATTATTTCCAAAGAGCAGTGTTTCTGTCGTTTATTCCAATGCCAACATAGTGGTGTTTAAGACTTTAGTGTCAGATTTGTGTTTTAATCTTTCACCGATTGTCTCTTAAGTGCCATTAAATATTGCACAAACATTTCCTAAATTCCACAAAATTATGATCATGCTTTTAAACAGAGGAGCTTCATCCTTAACCCTCGGAGTTCTGATTCCAGTTGTATGTAGATTTTTAAAAATTAGAAAGCATACTCCGAGATGTGCCATGAGAATTGCAAGCTATATATACTTATTTTTGTCCAACTATTTTTTTCTGTACCACAGGGAAGAAGAAAAATATTACAGCAGAAAAATGAAGCCTTTTTTAGGACTTCACCCTAATGCTCTTGCCTACTCGATGACCACGTTAGGCGCTGGAATGATGAACAGTATCTTCAATTTCTATTATGTGAAACTCTTTTTAAACAAGTACAAGATCTCAGAATCAGCATTCAATCAAGGGCAGGTAAGAGTATTGATGTGGCTATTTATATATTTCGTTTCAAAGCAGGTTGTGTTTTTACTGTACATCCAAAATGAAAAGCTTAGGAGTGATGTGGTGGCCTAGAGG